TCCTCTTTCCCTCCTTCCCTCCTTTCCTCCCTCCCTCCCTCCCTCCTTCCCTCCCTCCCTCCCTTCTTCCTTCCCTTCCTCACTTTCTTCCTGTAACCTAGCATAACCTTTTAAGGTGTGCCCTTGGGGATCTGAAAGGACTTTTTAGTCAGGGCTAAGCCCTTGGGGATAGGGCATGCTGTATTCTTTTTAGAGATAGACCTTCATGCCTGGACTGGCCTTGAACTTGTTATATGACTGAAAATGAATTTGCACTTCAGACGCCCCAAACCCATTGCCACCTCCAGGCATGTGCTACAGAGCTAGTTCATGTGGTACTAGGGACAAAACACAGGCTAAGCCCAAGTTAGGCAGGCTCTCTACCAAAGGAGCTACATTCTCAGCCCTCCAGAACCTGTACTACCAAGGTGTGGATGCCTGAAATATCAAAGGAGAACAAAGCATTCAGTTAGCTCATGGGTAGGCTGCAGAGAGTGGCCACACATTAGACTTCTGGGACAAAAAGTCTACAGTCTATAACCAAGTGTCCAAACTGTCCCTGCTGGTTTTGGTAAACAAAGATTTATGGGAACTCGGCTGAACACTGGTCTAAGAGGCCTCTGGTCAGTGTCCCCCATCCCACTTCCTAATAAAGCTCTCAAAGAACCTCAAGAAGAGCTTTCCTCAGACAGACGAGCAAACAAAACAGAATAGCTGACCTTGACCTCAAGGAAGATAAAGCAGGAGCCAGTGTGCTCGTGAGCACAGAAGTCACTCTGTCCCAGGCTTGTCATCTTCCATTCCAGGATAGAGTTTTGGCTTTGCACATCGCATCCAAAAAAAACCCATTTCTCAGCAACCAAAATCTCCATTTTCAGTGAAAGGGTAATTTCTCTCTGAAGAGATGCTAGCTTCCCAGCCTAGCAGATATTCCTTCCATCATCCTTTTGGCAATTTTTCAAGGAGAGCTGGCCATGTTTCAGGCAGTGATGGAATCAGAGCATAATCGACATACAATTCACTCACTGTTGGATGTAATTCATTGATTCTAGTAAATTCAGAGGACCAAATAACTATCATCACCATGACTGAGATTTAAAACATTTCATCCCCCAGAAGGACCCCTTTTGTTCCTTTTGAGTCTGTCCCAGATCCCAACCCCAGCCCTGGGCAATGTGGGACTGGCTGAATGGAACGGCTCACAACCCCTGCCAGTATAGACCGTGTAAGTGTGTGACATTAAATCGTGTTAACGCATAAGCAAACACGACACGGCTGCAGAGGAGTAAGACCCTTTGGGCTCCCCTAGCCATCCCTGGAAAGATAGGGAGAGGAATAACTTGAACCCTAGATGCAGGCAAAGGCCTTGAGGTGAGACAGAACTGCTCGTTTTGTGGCAATCACTAATGGTATGTCTGGATCTCCGGGAGCCATGATGGAGATGATTCATGGAGAGGTGGAGGGGTTAGGGAGGAAGGCAGAAAGGGACTTGAAGGGCCTGGGACAAATCTGGGATTTCTGAGTTTAAAATAGGAGAGTGGTGGCCCTATCTGCCTTGTCCTTTCACAGAGGTCACTGGTGTTGCCCTGGAGACCTCAGGTATCAGGTCACAAGAGGAAATGTGGAGACAAGCAGGGAGGTGGCTGATAAATGCTGGGGACAGAGTAGGCAGATGGGCACAAACACACCCAATAGATGGGCCACTGGACACCTATCAGAATGGCTGGTGGCAACAGCTGGTTTCCCTGTTACACAGGGGACTGTTTTGTGTCCTTGTGTCCACAGGTCCTTATGTCTTGTTCAGATCACGAAGGCGCAGCAGCAAGCATGCTTACCAGCCTCCTCCCATGGCTGCCATTGAGGAGATGAAAACCACTCGTCTCAAGGAGCAGAAAGCATTTGCTCTCATCAGAGAAATCCTGGGTGGGCAACTTCCCGAGCCTGAGTTCCCAGCATATCTTGGAGCAGAAACACTGAGTGTCCTTTGATGAGCCCCTTGCTGCCTCTAGGCTTCAGTTTCTGTAGATGGCTACTTGTCCTGACTTCTCCTTTCTGCCTGAAATCTTTTAAGCTCCTGGGATGAAGTCCGAGTTCCCTACTGTGTGGCTCTACTCACTTGGGTCCCCTCCCAGCGTCAAGGTTTCTGCAGCTCCTGAAATCTGATGATTCCGCTGTGTCCCGGCCCTTTGTTCTGTCCTATCTTTTCAGCTGCCTGGAATGTACCCACCCTCCTTCCCACCTTCCCTTCTGGCTAATTCTTCCCATTCTTTAATTCTTAGAGCTTATCTTCAGTGGGGACCCTCCCCACCCCATTGCCAGAACCTTTCAAAGCTCTGCTTATCTGCCTGCTTCCTAACGCAGATCCGGGTAGTTTTTGTTCACTAGCATGGTGAGCCCAGGCAGATGGGTCGGGAGGGAAGTACTGCAAGAAAGGAAAAAAGCCAGAGACCACGGGAGAATGGGACTCCCCCCACCCCCCATTTTCCTATGCGTTATCATTATTGGTGTCCATCCAGGCCCAGCAGGGGACTGGGTGGTGGTGGTGCTTCATGGTGCAGATCTCAAGCCCCAGGCTGGAAGGTATGGCTCAGTAGGAATCTGCACCCTGCTTGGATTGTTGTGTGACTTTCTGATCTAAAGACAAGGCCCTGCCTGTCTTCAGTAAGCAGGCAGACACCATGAGCACAGAGATCACATCTGCCTGGTCCATCACTGCCTTGGCAGCCATGCCACAGGGCAGGGGCCTGGTCTTGACAATTCTGTCTTGAATACACAGATAAGGGGTCTAGATGGGGCTCAGTAGGTAAGAGTGTCCACTTTGCAAGCATGAGGCCCTAGTTTGGATTCCCAGCACCCAAGTAAAAACCAGATGTAGTCCCGTGTACTTTTAACCCTAGTGCTAATGAAGGATGGTGAGCGCTTGCTGGCTGCCAGCCTTGCTCTGGCATCAGCACCAGACCTTGTCCCAAGGGGAAAGATGGAGTTACAGAACATGACACTCATCGTCATCCTCTGGTCACCCACACATATGTACATGCACAGCACACATGAAAATGAAAAAGAAGCTGACTGGTTCTGGGGTTTAGCTCAGTGGGGGGGTGTGCTCCTTTAGCAAGCACAGGCTCCATAGTCACCCCCCAGCTTATCCCCAGTGAGCCAGGCAATCTGCTGCTCAAGCATGGTGATCTGGGTTCACTCCTAAAACCCATCATTGAAGTAGGGAACGGATTTCCGCATGCTACCTTCTGACCTACACACATGCTGTGGCCTACATATGTTCACACTCTCGTCCACACAAGAATAACACAGAAATAGTTTTGAAGAGAAGGTCAAGCATGGTGGGCTCAGACCTATGATTCCAGTGCTGGGAGGCTCAGGAATTCATGGCCAATAGCATCGAAGGAGCAAGTTCAATGCCAGCCTGGGACATGAGACCCTGCTCAAAAGGAACAGAGAGCATGACCCCTGGTTGGGTCTTGTTCTAAATGCTTTCTTTATAAACATTAGCTGATCCTCCCACCGCAATCCCAGGCCTTAAAATTATTATCTGAATGACGAGGAATAATCCACAAGGAGGCGCCTGTGGAGAGGAAGTAGCAGGATCTCTCTGTCTGTGTATCTCGCTCCTTTCTGCTGTTTCTGTTGCCAGGGTGGCTGCAAGCCCTCCAGGGTTCTGAGTCAGGTATGATCCCTTTCCTGCTTGAACTTGGTGGGAGTCAAGGACCTGCCTGACTAGGCTGTGCATTCTTTCCAGCTTACCTGGGCTTCCTGTGGATGCTACTGCTGATGGCCTACAGGCAAAGGGACCCCAATGCTTACCACTTCAACAGACATCTGGAACATAGCTTCACCCAAGGCTTTTCACCTCTCCTGGGCTTCCGAGGGTTCTTCGAATGGGCCAACACCACCCTTGTGAAGAACCTATATGGTCATCACCCAGGTAGTCCCCTAACCCTGAGACAGCGTGTCAGGCCTCCTTGTGCGTGTAACCGTGTGGGAACAGCTATAAGTCACTGACAGTATACAACCACAACAGCCGAGTGATCACAGGCTTTGACAGGCTATCAGAAGGCTGGTGTGAACTGATGACCTTCTTGTGTGGGAGGTAGGAAGCCTAAACAGGCTAGGCGAATACAGTGTACAGGCAGGAGAAAGGATGTGAGACGATTGAAGCCAGCACACTCCAGAACTGCAAAGTCCGTGCGACTGCGAGGCGTTGGGTGTGACTACTATGGGGTACCCGAGTGAAGGGTGCGCGTGGAGCTGTGTAGAAGAGAGGGAGGGAGGGAGGCTGTAGAGGAGCTCTATCGAGCGCAGTTATCCTCGGGAGAAGAGGTACCATGGAGGTTTCTACACGAGGAAGCAACACAAACCTGTGGGACAAGAAGCATCACTCTGGAAGAATGTGGAGGCTGGAGTGTAGGGTATTCAGGATGCTAGAGAGAGCGGATGGGGGCAGATGTGGGATACAGGAGAGGGGGGATAGGAAGTACTGTTGGGATGCGGTGCATGCTGGGAAGTGAGAGTTGGGAAGGACACAGATGGCGTTCAGGCTAACAGAGTGAGGGTATAGTCTCTCAAAAGAATGAATGTATAACATACAGTGTCCAAGATGGAGAAATGGTGAGGGAAGGATGAATGGATTAAATATATTCATGATGGCATGGCAGTGGTCAGTCCAGGAAAGACAGAAAATGGCACAGCATATGGGAGAGCCAAGCACAATGAGGCTCTTAAAGGGAGGGAAGACTTCATTTTAAAACCTGAGAGGAGCTTCACTAAATTGAGAATGAGGCTGGGGTGGTGGCCCACACCTTTAATTACAGGACTTGGGAGGCGGAGGCACTCTGCCAGGGCTACATAGAGAGACCTCGGGGATGGGGGAATGAGGGTGAGGGGGTAGGTGTGAGGGTGGAGGAGAGATTAGATTAGGAGAGAGAGAGAGAGAATATGAAGAGCACCATGAGTGGAATGATGGAGAGAGAAGGAGGCCAGAGAAGTACCTTCAGAGAAAACCCCTAGGGCAGTCCCTAGAGTCTTCAGAGAAATCTGAAGGGCAATCCCTAGAACATATCAGACTTTTATATGCTTTGGGTTGGGGGAGTTTTGCATGACGTGATTTCATTCAGAATAGCAAACATAACATAGAGCATGGAAGAGTGTTGGTTAGAACCATAAAACCAGGAGCCATAAAACCACAGCACAGAAGTACCGTTCAATTCTGTCCCAGAGAGAACTGCATGGAGGTGTCACCTAATCCCTCCAGGCTGTAAGCTCAGGCTTCTCAGGAGAGAGCAGGGTCTTAAAGGGGCAGGGCCACGTTCTAACAATGCATTCAATGCTTCTCTCTCTAGGATACACCTATGATCATATGCGCATCTGGGTGGGGGAGCCTGGGATGTGTTAGAATGCTTCCAGATGCTACACTTGCCCTCCTGGTTCTCATCTTTAGGCTTTGTCACTGACGGGAACTCCAAGTTGGTTGGCAGTGCCCACATTCGCCAAGTGAGGGTCCGGGAAAGCTCTTGTTCTGTTGCCCAGCAGTTACAGGCTTCTTTTGATGGATGCCATGCGCCGTATTCCCTGGATGTGGAAGACCTGGCAGACTACGGAGAAGGCTGGAATGCCTCTGCTCACAATAACAGCCATGCCTTCTCTCAGGTGTGGCAGTACCAGAGCCAGAATCAACGCCAGGGTTATCCCATGTGGGGCAAACTTACCGTGTACAGGGGAGGAGGCTACGTGGTCCCCTTGGGGGTTGATCACCAAAGTGCCTCAAGGTAAGAGCCACTGGGTTCTTTTCTAGCTCAGTGATGCCAGTTTGTTAAGAGTCCTGGTGGGGTGGAAATGCAGCCTTCAAAACAAAGCCAGGCCGAGTTTATTCGTGCCACTGTGGGAGGGGAAAGGCGAGCAATAATCATTCAGGAAGTATTTGCAATCCCCAAGTATTTCAGGCACATCCCCAGACCTGGGAGGCAAGGCCCTCTGCAGCTGTTATTACTAAGCATACATGTATATTCACACCCGTAATTTCATTTTCTCAGTCTGGAGGGACTGGTGCTAGTGTCATTGTGAACGAGGAGATCAAAGCCTGAAGAAGTTAGTCTCTTACCCAAGAGGCAGTCGGGATTTGAACTCAACTCCCTCTGCCACCCCAGGACACGGTGCTCTTTGTGTTACACCAGGCTGAGTTCTCCAGGGCCCAGCCCAGAGGAACCGCCACAGTTTCAGCTACTGCCTGAGTCCCAGTGCTTCCTGAGGCTCCTCTGGAACACTATGGCTCTTTGATTTGAAGAAGCATTCTACTTCCCTGGGTGGGGTATACCCAAGCACACGCGCCTGACCCGGCTTTTCTGATATATCTGATAGAGCCTGAGTCTGTATTCACAATATGCTACAAATGAGGACTGGGGACCCCCTTGAGAACCTCTGTTCCAAAGTTCAGAAGACTACAAGCTAACAAGCTAACACACCTTGTGGCTGGCAAATGGTGACACCCCCCCCCCACACACACACACACTGAAAGCTAGCCATGTATCCCAGGGTCAGAGAAGAGGAGAAGGTTTAGACAGTAAGCCCTAGCTCACTCAGGGGTCCACAGGCAGGGAGCCTCCCAAGAATGAAGATGCCCAAGCAGTCCCTTCCTCCACAGGATTCTCCAGTACCTCTTTGACAACAGCTGGCTGGACACCCTGACCAGAGCAGTGTTTGTGGAGTTCACTGTCTACAACGCCAATGTTAATCTGTTCTGCTGTGTCACACTCACACTGGAGACCAGTGGCCTGGGTGAGAGCCACCTCTCCTGGAAAGCCTCACCCTGGGTCCCCACCCCCACAGCTGGGTCCTGCTGCCTCAGGGACTGGGGTCCAGGGAAGTTGCAGTGGGGCTCTGGGTTCACCTCACAATGGGTCATGAAATCTCTGAGTCTCCGACAGCAAGGCATCAGTGGTACCCCAGCCAACTGTCCTTTCTTACTCTGGCCTGGTCTCTTTCATTAAGGGAATCCAGTGGAGTGAGGAGGTAGCTTATCCATCTCTTAATCTCACCATGGGAAGCACATTGAATACTGCTGTCCAACCGGCAATCACACAACTGAGGCCAGAGCTTCAAACGCGACACTCACCTGAACTGCTGTGATAGGATTTTATACTTTCTGTTTATTCTTTGTTTCCCCATCTGCCATCTTCTTTAAACATTCATTACAAGCTACCAAAACCAAAAATTAACCTAAAAACCTTCTCAGCTAATACTCAACTGGCCCAGAACTCAACTTCTTCTCTGTTAAACCCTGAACATTTATTAAGTATCCAATAGCTATTTTATTTGCTTGCCTATTTTGAGACAGAGTCTTAGGTAGCCCAGATGAACTTCAAACTTATTCTCTACTTCCTGGTTACTGAGACTATACTGGGGAGCTACCACACCCAGCCTAAATTTTAAAAACATATATTTCATTCTTTTAGAATATCATATATGCATACAGTATGATATATACAGTGTCTTTTATCAGACCGCCCCCACTAAATTAATCACACACACACATACACACATACACACACATGTGTGCGAACTTGCTATGAGGCTCTTAATGGCCTAGAACATAATTTTCAGCTGGTCTTTCTGCCACCCTGAAGGCTGGCTTTATGTTCAGACACTAGCCTTACTAGTCAAATTGACTTAAAATATTATCTCATAAACCAGCATGTAGGAAAAGTCCTGAGATTCTAGCACTCAGGAGGGAGAGGAGGAGAATCAGGACCTCAAGGTCATCTTTGAGTACACAGAGAGTTCAAGCACAGCCTGGGATACGTGAGTCTGTCTCAGAGGCAAAACCAACAACAAAACATTTTCACTCAATTTTAATGGAAAAAGAATAAAGAAAAAAATAAACTAAAAAGACACAGGCTGAGGTATGGTGGCGTACACCTTTAATCCCAGCATTAGGGAGGCAGAGGCAGGTAGACCTCTGTGAGTTCAAGGCCAGCTTTGTCTACACGGGGACTTCCAGGTCAACTAGGGGTATGGTGAGATCATATCTCCAACTAAAAAAGAAAGATGTACAAATGATGGCAGATAACTCACAGGAAGGTTGGCTTGCAGTATGGACCACTTGATGATTCAGGGAAGCTCTGTGAGGAGGATGACATCATTGAACAGTGTAGGGAGACTGGAAGAAGATGCTGGGTGGGTGGGCTCTGGGAGGCTACTGCAGAGGTGGAAGGTCTTGTGGGCCTTCTAGAGCAGCTTCCTTCTGGACTGTCCACTGTCCTTGGCATCCTGTTCATGTCCAAAGTTGTCCCTTATATCTCTTTGTCCTAAGGACATCATCTGTCTTCCCCTTGCCAACCTTGAGGGCTGGAGTTACGTGGCCTGAGTCTGGTCAGAAGATGAGACTCCAATAGACAGGTGAACAGGACTCACCTTTCTCCCCAGGTACCTTCTTCTCACATGTGACCCTGCAGAGCCTGCGCCTGTACCCCTTCACGGATGGCTGGCACCCCTTCGTGATAGCAGCTGAGTTCATTTACTTCCTCTTCCTCTTCTACTACATGGTGGTGCAGGTGAGAGTTCAGGACGCAGAGATAAGGGGGCTCATCCCTTTGCCTTCCCACCTCCGGAGGTGGGGGTCTGAGGCAAGAGGAAAAGGTTTTTTGTTTGTTTTTTGTTTTGTTGTTGTTTGTTTATGCCCCAGGCGCTTGCCTGGTAGACCTTCTGTTGCTCCTGAGTGCCAATCTAGGCTGCTGCAGGAAGGACCAGGGTTGGTATTTCCAAGGAACTGGCATCTCAGGCTTTGTCCTTGCTAGGGGTAGGTGGGTCTGCTTCTGACTTGGAACCTTCCAGAGTCTTAGGTGAAGGGAAGTGGAGGTGACTGTCCCCATAGCTGGGGTTCTCTGAACTTAGCATGTGGGGTTCTTAGCATCTTCTGTCCACAGGCTCACCTGTGGGCCTAGTACCCTTAACTACCTTCACTGCCATGTTGCGCTATGAGAGTTTAAAGATGTCACAACCTTACCTGAAGTGGATGAGTAGTTCTCCTTCTCCACAAATGTACACTGGATATCTAAACTTGGTAACCAACCATTCTCTGCATCAATAATGTGTTAATTTCTTGCTTTTCCCTTCTTTTTTTTTTTTTTTTTTTGTTTGTTTGTTTTTCGAGACATGGTTTCTCTGTGTAGTCCTGGCTGTCCTGGAACTCACTCTGTAGACCAGGCTGCCCTCGAACTCAGAAATCCACCTGCCTCTGCCTCCCAAGTGCTGATATTAAAGGCGTGCGCCACTACCGCCCGGCTTGCTTTTCCCTTCTTTTGTTGTTTGTTCAATCTGTTTTTGAAGACAGAGTCTCACTCTGTAGCTCGAGGTAGCCTGAAACTTACTATGTATCTTGTAGGCTGCAATCTTCTTGTCTTGGCCTCCTAACTTCTGGGATTCCGGGTGTCAGCCACAGTGCCTGGCCTAACCTAACAACATCTTTAAAGTCAGGAAGGGCTGGTGAGATGGCTCAGTGGTAAGGGCACTTGCTACCGAGCCTGGTGACCTGAGTTTCTCATAGTAGAAGAGAACCTACTCCCATAAACTGTCGTCTGACACATCACACACACACACACACACACACACACACACACACACACACACACGAACGCACGCACGCACGGCACCCACCATACATAAAGAAAATCAGGATGGTATGTTTGGTGTTTGCTTATGAAGCAGGTACTATGCTAAGAATAATATGTGCTTTCTTAACAAAAGGAAGGTCCTCTTGGCTCTGGCATTCAGAGGAAGACACAAAAGCCCATAGACCTTATTTACCAAGGGTAGCTTATTAACCATGGCTGCCTGCTTGCTAGACAAGTGTTTTATCAGTGAGCTACACTCTCAGCCCCCAAATCTAGAATTTGAAGCCAGAGTCTGTCATCTGACCTTCCCCCTAATCTCCCATGAGGTAACACAAGTCCCTTAAAGCAGGGTACCTAACTGGATATGGCACACAGACCTTGGGAAGCAGAGGCAGGAAGATTGTTAGTGCCAGGGCAGCCTGGGCTACAGAGCAAGTTCAGTACCCTGGCTGGGCACTTCATCAAGGGCCTATCTCAAGATTAAAAAAGATAGCTGAGGATAAAACTCAACGGTAGACCACATGTCTAGAAAGCTTAACACCCAGGCTCAATCCCCGTTAACACACACATACACACAGTCTTAGTTATTGTATTTACAGCCCCAAGTCTGGTAGCCAGAGTTAGTGATGGGAACATGTTGAGGAGAGATCTCCAGGGAGTCTACATATGTGGGATGGGGCCAGGGTAACATCCTCTAGAGGCCTTAGGCATGAAGGGGCAGACCTTGCCACAACCTTAAGCAGAATCTCTCTGGACCCTTTTCCAGGGCAAGCTCATGAGGAAGCAGAAGTGGGGTTACTTTTGCAGCAAGTGGAATCTTCTGGAATTGGCCATCATCCTGGCCAGCTGGAGTGCCCTCATGGTGTTTGTAAAAAGAACTATCCTGGCAGATCGTGACCTCCAGCGCTACCGGAAACACAGGGACAAGTATGTAGTGACTTCTCTTCTTTCCCTAGCCGTCCCCTGCCTGTCTTTCCTATACCTGTCAGAAGGAGGCTTTGGAAATCCTTCTGGCCCCAAGTGGGCAGAGGGAAGTCCTTGCAGATATAACTGCAGCTGCCCTTAGAGTCACACTCAGGTCCTGTGACTTAGGAAACTGGAGAGGATTCTTTCATTTCTTGTTTATAAATTAGCATGTATTAATTGATTACAGATTATAAATATGTGTTATAAACACATAATAGTGGCTTTCATTGTGATGTTTTCATATATGCATCTAATATACTTTGATCATATTCACACACACACAAACACACACATACACACACACAAACACACATACACACACACACAAACACACATATACACACACAAACACACATACACACACACACACAAACACACATACACACACACACAAACACACACATACACACACACATACACACACATACACACACAAACACACATACACACACACACAAACACACACATACACACACACACAAACACACATACACACACAAACACACACATACACACACATACACACACACAAACACACACACATACACACACAAACACACACAGACACACAAACACACAGACACACACACAAACACACACATACACACACAAACACACACACATACACACACAAACACACACAGACACACACACAAACACACACAAACACACACATACACACACAAACACACACACACACACGACCCTCTCTTGTTCCATGTCAGGTAGAGAGGACTCTTTAACTCAAAATACAGCAACAGGGCTGGAAGATGACTCAGTGGCTAGGAGCATCTGCTGTGCACAGATGGCTGTGAGTCCCTGGTCCTCCTGCTTCCTCTCCCCAGTGCTGGGACTAGACATATGCCTCCATGCACGCTACAAATAAAGCTTTAGTACAATGTGGAGCACACCTGTTTGCTCACATGCTGCCTATGGCTGCTTTCCTCCAACAATGGCACTGTTGAGTCACTGAGACAAAGACCATCTGGCCCACGGATTCCCAAGTGCGGGCTCTTTGACTCTTCCCAGAAAGAGCTGTCCTCCTGGAGCACAAAGGCTGGGTTCTCGGAATGGCAGAATGGCGCTGAGTTTGTAGCAGGTCACCCATGAGCTCACGGACCACGGTGTCTCAACACACTCACTCCTTCCTCTCATCACCTCACCCTTCACTCTTGCCATCCACGTGGACAAGCTTGTTATTTCCTTGGGTCTTAAACCAACTTTAGAGAGTTCCCCGCATACAGAGGGTGTCAGAAAACATAAAAAGGAATAATCTGGCGGTTCGTAGAAACCTGAGTAGCGTCTGAGTTAATTTTTTTTTTAAAGACTTTTGTTCATGTGTCTATGTCTGTGTGAGTGCCTGCTGAGTGTGTCTGGGTGCATGCAGAAGCCAGCAGAGGGCACTAGGATCACCCAGAGCAAGTTATGAACTGAACAATGTAGGTGCTGGGAACCAAACTCAGGTCCCTCAGAAAGCCAGTAAGAACTTTTAACTGCTCAGCCAACTCTCTGTCATCTGTGAAACAGAGACAGCAGGACCTGCTTCATCTTGAAGTGCAAATGACACAAAGCAAATCGGATTCTCACTTAGCACAACAAATAGAGGACACCCCTGCCTCCCCCCAACCCAGCCCCCCTGTGCTTCTTCCATATTAGGGCAGCTGGGGACCTACTCTCAAATAAGTGAGTGGCATTTGGTGACCCAAAGCAGGGAGGTGAAGGCTTGCAAAAGACTCTTCTCTCCATCCTCCCGACCTCCATCCCTAACATAGTCCTCTTTTGCCATCTATCTATAGCTCTGCAGCCAGTGATCAAGACTACTGGTTAAAGGTCCTGGGAACAAACCCCTGGATCTTCAAGACCATGTTATCCCCATTGCCAGCGTCTTCCTCCTCCTCCTCCTCCTCCTCACCATCATCAGCAGCAGCAGCAGCATTACCATCCTCATCATCCCCGTTACATCTCCATAACTCCGTCATCACCAACACCATCATCAGGACACCGCCACTATCGTCTTTCTTTTATTTTAATAGATTTATTAACCTGTTTTGAATTTTTGTTTGTTTTTGAGATGGGGTCCGTACACAGCTATCGTAGAACTCACTATGCAGTCCAGGCTGGATGTGAACTCACAGACATCTGCCTGCCTCTGCCTCCCGGGTGCTGAGATTACAGGCGTGCACCACCACACCTAGCATTGTTTTTTTTTTTTTTTTTTTTTTTTTTTTTAATTTATTTATTTATTATATAGGAATACATTGTAGCTATTTTCAGACACACCAGAAGAGGGCATCAGATCTCATTACAGATGGTTGTGAGCCACCATGTGGTTGCTGGGATTTGAACTCAGGACCTCTGGAAGTGCAGTCAGTGCTCTTAACCACTGAGCCATCTCTCCAGCCCCCTAGCATTGTTTATTTATGATTATTTGTTGAGGAGCACAGACGTTCCACAGCACGGGTGTGGAGGTCAGGAGACAACTTTCAGGAGTTGGCTCTCTTCTTCCACCTGTACCACATTTACATGGGGTCTGGGAATCAGCTCAGGTAGCCAGGCTTACCCACTGAGCTGCCCTGCCTTGGTGGTGCATCTGCTACTATCAGTCTGTTTGTTTGTTTGTTTTTCGAGACAGGATTTCTCTGTATAGCCCTGGCTGTCCTGGAACTCATTCTGTAGACCAGGCTGGCCTCGAACTCAGAAATCCGCCTGCCTCTGCCTCCCAAGTGCTGGGATTAAAGGCATGCGCCAGCACTGTCTGGCTGCTACTATTATTCTTATCCCCATCATCATCACCCCTACCACCTGACTTGGGGGGAACTGGAACTACTTTGTCTCCCAGACCACTTTCAGGACAAGATGACCTCTGAGATCATGGTGAATCTAACCCTGTATCTGGATGGACTCCAGCCTTGCTCTTCTGGTATCTGAGATAGTGGGGCCTTCCCATTTTCTTCCCACAGGGGCATCAGTTTCAGTGAGACAGCAGCGGCTGATGCTGTGCTCGGTTACATCATAGCCTTCCTCGTCCTGCTGTCCACTGTGAAGCTTTGGCACCTGCTCAGGTTGAATCCCAAAATGAACATGATCACGGCAGCACTGCGCCGTGCCTGGGGTGACATCTCAGGCTTCATCACTGTCATTCTTATCATGCTCCTGGCATATTCCATTGTGGTGAGTACCTCCTGTGGGAACACCTCAGGGCAGGTCTTGGTGGAAGTAAAGGCTACTTGGTATTAACCAGCCAGGGTTAGGGGGAGACTGGGAATCCAGAGGAAATGACAGAGGTTGTGAATCCAGGATCTGTTAACTGGGAGCTTATGAAATTGTCACCTCCAAGAACCAAGACTGGGAACCTCAGTAAAAAGGGGGTGAGGTAGTGTGAGATTTGAGACCAAAAGGGCCAATGGTCTCTCAAGACAGGCTGCGTTCTGCAGCCAGCCCTTCTCAGACTGCCGGGTCTAATTGCCCAGTTGCTTAGAAGCCTCACGGATGCTTTCCAGACATGCACAGTGAGCTCCCACAGCACCGGTGAATCGGGCCACCCTCTCCTTGAGCTAGGGCAGGGTGGGAGGTGAGGGTACAGGCCATGCTGTCATAAATACTTGGACTCTGTAGTGCCAATAATCTTTCATTGAGCTCCTTGACACTACATGTTGACAATTACATGTTTGTCACTAGAAAGTTGATGGCCAGTTACCACATTGAGTCAACTCTTTCTTAGTATCAAGTACTAAGGAAAGCAAAGACTCCTTCTGACCTCTTCTTGCTCTCTATCCAAATACACATTCCAACTCGGAAGCTCAGAAGCTCCGAGGCTTCCGACATAATTCTGTGTGCCCTTTTGTCTTTGACTTTAGCCCCACCCTGATCTTATCACAGCCCAGCTCTACCCAGTCCAGCAGCTGTCACCCCTCAGGTCTTGGCAGCGTCAGCCTTCTTGCGTCTTTGTCTGCACTCCGTTCTTAGCCCCCACTCCCACTGTACATTCTAGCCATCTCGGCTCTGCCCATTCATGTCTCCTTCCACCTTCCATCCCACCCAGGGTGAGGTGCACTGAGAGAAGGGTGGCGGATCTGTGAAAGGGTGCTTTTCTCCTAAACGCTCTCACGCAAATGCCCTGACTCCTCTGGATCTACCCAGCCCTTCATTTGAAGGTCAGGGACATGGCAGGAATCCTGTGAAGCCAGAAACCACCAACTCAAAAGAAGGGGGTTCTGAGCCTTCCTTTGATACCATGGTCCTGGGACAGTCTTGGGGAAAAGAGAGAAAGCCCTGTGGGAGGAGCTCCATCCATCCTCCCCTACAGCTGAGAGGCTGGGGAGGAGAGCAGCCAGTGCCGCCATTGAGTCCTTGAGCCACGATCCAGTAAAGGATGCAGAGGGTTGCACAAGGGGTACCTGAGTCCCTGAGGTAGCCAGATACGCCTGTATTTGGTGGGTGCACAGGTAACTGTCATTGGGAGGCTCAGAATGCAGCCAAGGTCCTGGGTCAGACACTTCCAGAGCACATGACATATACAAACCTACACATTCACAAATGCATATGTGCATGTATCAATGCCCACAGAAACACACACACATACTCAAAATTGCCATGAGTGTAGTCACACATGCACAGACACACGTCTTATATTGAACTGGGTGTGTATACATAGTCACTTGCAAGACCACACAGGCGCCACAGTGTAGCCAGGCCAAGGAAGTAGCTGGTATACCACTGTCTCAAACATCAGAACTAGAGGGGTGCGGTGGTGGTGGGGAGGCTTTGCGCTTTCTTTCCCTGTTCACGAATACTCTTTCCATGACAGTCAAATTTAGCGTTTGGTTGGAAACTCCGTTCCTACAAAACCCTCTTTGACGCAGCAGAGACAATGATCAGCCTTCAGCTGGGGATCTTCAACTATGAAGAGGTAATGGGGGTGGGTAGGGGTAGCCCCTGCAATCCGTGTCAAATCCGCATGAAACTGACAAATCACTGCCTGCCCACCTTCCCCTGTGCCAGTTTGAATGCAGGGCCTGGCAAGCATGGGGCTTCTCTAGACCAGTAAAAATGCCCCACACCCTGCGACAGACTACCCTGGAGGCTCCTGCTTACAGAAGAACTGTCAGACCCTCAGGAGGGCCATGCTGGGCTGTAGAAATGCCCAGCCCTCTCTAGATATAGTGCCTGTTTTTAGAGGAAGCAGGGGTGGACCAGGGTGTAGCCTATACCCCTCTGGGGCAGCTCTGGAGAGCTCAGCCCACACTTCCTGCCCCAGACAGAGGCCACTGCCTCCACTCTGCTCAACTCAGACACTCTGACTTTTATTGCTGAGGGAAAGGGGAATGACTGGCTTTCTTCCCTGCAGGTCCTGGACTACAGCCCAATCCTTGGCTGCCTCCTCATTGGGTCCTGCATAGTTTTTATGACATTTGTGGTACTGAATCTGTTTATCTCTGTCATTCTGGTGGCCTTCAGCGAGGAACAAAAGTCTGACCAGGTAAACTCCTTTGACCTAGTCTTCACATAAATGAGATCATGTGTGTGTGTGTGTGTTTGTGTGTACCTGTGTGTGTGTTTTTCCAGCTGGCTGCTTCCTCTTAGGACAATCTATTTTTTAATTTGCTATTTTTAAAAAACCTTTTCTGTGTATGTGTGTGTGCCTGTGTGTCTGTATGTGCACCACCTGCATGCAGTTCCTGTGAAGGCCAGAAAAGTTTGTAAATTCCCAGGAACTAGAGTTACAGGCAGTTGTGTGGGTACTAGGAATCGAACCTGGGACCTCAGAAAGACAAGCAAGTACTCTTAACTGCTGAGCCATCTCTCTGGCCTGAGGATGCTATTTTTGAGGCTCATCCATGTTGTAGTATCTATCATTAGTAACTCATTCTTTAAAAAATATATTTGTAGATCAGGCTGGTCTTTAGCACAGATTAAACAGACTCTGCCTCCTTAGTGATAGAATCAAAGGCATACACTGCCACACCCAGCCCACATAATCTTCTGTAATTGAGTATTGCCCATATTTTCATAGTCTAAGAACCTTTTTGGAGGGAGTTATGGCTATTATGGATTGAATTATTGTCCTCTAAAGAAATAGGTCAGGGGCTGGAGAGATGGCTCAATGGTTAAGAGCACTGGCTGCTCTTCCAGAGGTCCTGAGTTCAATTCCCAGCAACCATGTGGTGGTTCACAACCATCTGTAGTGAGATCTTGACCAAGCCTGCTCAGTCAGTCAACAGGTTCTCCAGCACAGGAGTGAGGATTAAAAGAAAAGAGACGGTTAGACAAAATTGCCGCATGACCCCAGCCAGTTCTGAGGCTGAAGGCAGGTTCATTTAATTCAACTTTTCTTTTAAACCCTTTTAATTACATGCAAGTATTTAGGTCAGTTCTAGGTTTGAGGAACCAACATTACAATAGAAACAAACAATCAAGGAACAAACAAGGCTATATACAGAGTCCCAGGATGATCACTCTTGCTGTTTCTAAGGGCCCATCAGGATGACAAAGTATCTGAGGCTACTTCCCTGTCCTAGCCCACAGTCATATTCATGCCTGAGGCTTACCTCTTTGTTTTAGCCTAAGACTAGGATTCCTGACTGAAATTACTTCTCTGTTTTAGCCTAAAAATAGACTCCTGCCTGAACTTACTTCCTTGTCATGGCCCAACGTCAGATTCCTGCCTAAAGCCCATTTCCTTGTCCTTGGCCAATGTCAGATTCCTGCCAAGCATCCCCAAAGGCTCTCCACAGGATCTGATGCCTTCTTCTAGTGAGTCTGACCCGACCTGAGGGTTAGTCAACGAGGTCTGCAAAAGACAGAGTGGGGATGGAGGGGCAAGAGATGCGAAGAGTGTCGACAAGACAGGGTGTCTGATCAAGTTTATTGAAAGGCAATTGTGGGTATATAAACACAAGCAGGGGAGAACAGCTGGAGACACTTTACCATGAGTACCTTGCAGCTGGGAGCACTAAACAAGAAGTCTAGGATATGTCTGAGAAAAACAAGATGTTTATCATAGTGTGCTCTGCTGTTGTAGGCTGTTTGCAAAAATATCATGCTAGAAAAACAAGTCTCTTGTCAGGGTAGAAAAGTATCAACCTGCAAATATATGGCCCAAGATGGCTGCAAAGATGATAGCTGCTTTCTGTGAGGAGATGGCTCCCAACATGTGTCTAAAGATACTGTACTCATATACATTTAAACCTTAAATATATAGATAACAAAAAAAGAAGAATCAGGTCAGAGTGATAAGCTCCATAAAGGACCGTATTGGAGAACAGAGTCATTGTTGGCATAATTAGTTAAGGGTTGTTATGCTGGACCAGTGTGAATCCCTAATCCAATAGGACGGCTTTCCTGATAATATATGAACATTTTTGCTGTTTGTTTTAGACAAGATCTCATGAGTATCATCAGTCTGGCCTTGAACTCCTCATCTTCCTGTCTCTGCCTCCCAAGTGCTGGGATTACAGGCCTGTGGCACCATGTCTATGTGGCTCTGTCTACAGTCTTTAAGTCTGGACTGCCAGTCTTATTTCCTACAATGTGTTTTTGCTTTGCTTTGTTTGTTTATGAATGAGACAGGATCTTGATATACAGCTCAGGCTGGATTTGAACTTGAAATTCTCCTGTCTTCACCTCTAAGGGCTGGGATTACAGGTTTGTGGAGCCATGCCTTTTTCTTTAGTTTAAAGATCTATCTATCTATCTATCTATCTATCTATCTATCTATCTATCTATCAATCATCTATGTATCAATCATTTATGGTTAAGTATGGGAAAGGTACAGTGAGAAACACCTGTTTAGTTTCTCATTTCCCAAGAATCCAAGTCCCTCCCATGCTGGCCGGACCGAAGGGTGAGCATGGCAAGCAGAAGAGCAAGAGTGACAGGGGAAGAGGATACAGAAAGGTTGAATGAGGCGGGCGACAGTCACCTCTGAAAGGTACCTGGAGGTGGCTGGTGCTTAAGTTCAGGTGCAGTGGCCAGCTGAGGCTTTCTCTGTCCAGTTTGGGATGCAAAGTCCAGGAAAGCCCAGACATGCTTGGCAGAGGAAGAGGGCCCACTACAGATAACATGAAGCATTGGCCTGCCCTGCCCCAGTGGAGCTGCAGCTCCAGTAGAAGGGCATCCCAAGCCTAGGACAGCCTAGTAACTAGGCTTGGGACAAACAGGCTATTTTTGTTTGCTTTGTGGTGCTGAGGATAAAACCCAGAGCCTGGAGCATCCTAGCCACGTGCTCTACCATCAAGCCCTAACCTCATCTCCAGGACCAAATAAGGCAGGAAAATCTCGGGATGGTTCCAGATACATCACCTGGTCCTTTCTTCTTGCAGCTGTCAGAGGAAGGAGAGATTGCAGACTTGCTCTTGATGAAAACCCTCAGCTTTCTGGGCATCAGATGTAAAAGGGACGAGACCCAGAGCAGCAGTGAGCAGCCAGAGTTGCCCTCCAAGGCTCTGTCCCCTCAGCCAGCATAAGCTTTGTCTTGGATTTAAACTGTTCATTCACAGGTAGGGGGTGGGGAAGGCCAGAGCTTCCGGCCTGCACTTGCCAGTCACTCTGGCATCCCACTGGCTTTGCTGTCTATAGAGGAGTTCTGCAACCCATCGGGTAAGATAGTCACAATATATACATATATAATAGTGTCACTGTGTATGAGCTTGTTTGTTCTGATGTATTTTCTCCTTGAAATAAAATGCACGCCGGGCAGTGGTGGCGCACGCCTTTAATCCCAGCACTTGGGAGGCAGAGGCAGGCGGATTTCTGAGTTTGAAGCCAGCCTGGTCTACAGAGTTTGTTCCAGGACAGCCAGGGCTACACAGAGAAACCCTGTTTCGAAAAACCAAAAAAAGGGCTGGAGAGATGGCTCAGTGGTTAAGAGCACTGACTGTACTTCCAGAGGTCTTGAGTTCAAATCCCAGCAACCACATGGTGGCTCACAACCATCTGTAATGAGATCTGATGCCCTCTTCTGGTGTGTCTGAAGACAGCTACAGTGTATTCATATATAATAAATAAATAAATCTTTAAAAAAAAAAGAAAAAAGAAATAAAATGCACATGGAAAAGAACATTCTCTCTGGAACAATTAATTCACTGCTTTGGTTATTGGCTGTTGTCTTTGAATGGTTCTCAAGACTTTAACTAAATGCTAATAGGTATCCTGTTAGCTTGCTGGGACCAAGAATGACAGACTGATAGGTTTAAAGAACAGAAGAGTGTCAGCAGCTGGTGGCGCACGCCTTTAATCCCAGCACTCAGGAGTCAGAGGCATCCGATTGTTGTGGTCAATATTAATTGGGGTTTCTGCCCCACCACAGATCACTTCGTTCCCAAATAAAAGATATAAACCCTTTATATTTATAATAAGCCTTCAAGCACTAGAGCTGGGGAGATACCAACCCTCTATGCTATTTTTTCTACTTCCCTGTCAATAACACTGAGATACAACTTGGCTTGCTCAGTCTAGGCCGCTCTTACTCCAAATGGCCAGCCCTCATGATCATGTGACCACGACTCACCACATGGTGACTTCTTTCTTCTTCCTCCCTCCTCCTGATCTCCATCTCAGACCCTAAGCCTGGGAACTGAAGCCTACCTCTCTTTTGCCCAGCTATAGGCATCTTTTTTTTTTTTTAAAGACTGAATGACTTATTTATTTATTTATTTATTTATTTATTTATTTATTTATTTATTTGAGTACACTGTAGTTGTCTTCAGACACAACAGAAAGGGCATCGGATCTCATTACAGGTGGTTGTGAGCCACCATGTGATTGCTAGGAACTGAACTCAGGACCTCTGGAAGAGCAGTCAGTGCTCTTAACCACTGAGCCATCTCTCCAGGCAGCTGTAGGCATCTTTATTCAACCAATAGTTTTAAATTTAGGAGCAATGTTTGCACAACAAGAGCTGGCATGCTTGAGAATTCACTCTCCAGGCAACTAGACCTTGGGATACAGATTTTAGCATTACAATATATAGCAACACACCAAACCTCAACAATTGCTCTCTGAGTTGGAGGCCAACCTGGTCTATAGAGTAAATTGCAGGGCAGCCAGGGCTACACAGAGGAAACCTTGTCTCAAAAAACAACAAAAACAGCAACAAAAGCCAAAACCAACCAAACAAAAAAGTCAGAATTACTTTTATCAATGGTGGTGGTGCACACCTACTATCTCAGCATGCCCAGCTCCTCCAGGGGTCCTGATTGGGTTTGTTTTCACTGTTAAAGAATTAAAAGGCAGGGAAAAGTCTCTACAGATAGCATCTGAGAAATCTTGAACACAGTAAACAGGAGCAGAAAGAATCATCAGTTGAAGAGAGGCTTTTATTGTGGGTTAAGAAACACATGCAGTGGGCTGGAGAGATGGCTCAGCGGTTAAGAGCACTGACTGCTCTTCCAGAGGCCCTGAGTTCAATTCCCAGTAACCACATGGTGGCTCACAACCATCTGTAATGGGATCTGATGCCTTCTTCTGGTGTGTCTGAAGACAGCTACAGTGTACTCACACATATAAAATAAATAAATCTTTAAAAAAAATTGTTTAAAAAAAAAAGAAACACATGCAGCAGACACAGAGAGAAAGACCCTTTGCAAAGCAGAGTGGTGACTAGGGAATCCAAGAAATCCAGTCTCCTCCTCTTCTGTTAATAAATCTTTAATCTATCTCATCTATCTGTCTGTCTGTCTATCTATCCATCCATCTATTTAGTTTTGGTTTGTTGAGACAGGGTTTCTCTGGCTGTCCAGTGTAGCCCTGGCTGTTCTGGAACTAGACCAGGCTGGCCTTGAACTCAGAAATCTGTCCCTATGCTAGAATTAAAGCTGTGTGCTACTACCAGGCTGGTGTCTCTTTTTGAGGGTTGGGTTTGTTTGTTTGTTTGTTTGTTTGCTGGCTCTGAAGAGCCTAGCTCTTAAGTTGCCAGGCTTTTGTCTCAGCTCAGGAGGGTGTAGAAGAAGCTGGCCATCATGGAAGCTCAGCATCTTTGTTATCTACCGGGGAGTTTATCTAACTGCTACTTCCTTGCCACCAGCAGCCCGGGCTCAGCTTGAGTGTCTAGTACAGCTCCTAGTGTATATTACACCTCTTTCCCCCTCATCCACTTTACAGACTCTGGGTTCCCTGCCCCAAATGCATCACGATTTCCTCTTGGCTAAGGGAAACTGAGCCTTTTTTGGGAGCCTTCTGTCCCTTTCCCCCAAGGACTTCCGAAGCCACCTCAGGGTAAATCCTGTTTTGTCTTGGTGATGGCAACCCATTTATTTCCCTTGACAGTGAGCAACCCCGAGGATGGGCAACTCCCAATCTCTAGCTGGATGTTAGAAATCGTATGGGTTTAAGAAATAACTCAGTGGCCAGGCAGTGGTGGCTCACGCCTTTAATCCCAGCACTCGGGAGGCAGAGGCAGGCGGATTTCTGAGTTCGAGGCCAGCCTGGTCTACAGAGTGAGCTCCAGGACAGCCGGGGCTACACAGAGAAATCCTGTCTCAAAAAAACAAAAAACAAAACAACAACAACAAAAAAGAAATAACTCAGTGATTACGAGTGACTGCTGCTCTTGTAGAGGACCCAGCTATAGAGCTATGGGCTGTGAACTATCTTCTGTCTCTACTTCCTAGATGCTGCAATCAGGTATATTCCAGGCCCGAAGAAATTGTGTGGTTCTGTCTGTTGGGTTTAGAGTCTTTTGGGATCTCTAGGGTAATAAGGTGGATTACTGGATTATTTTTTTCTTCTTCTTCCTTCCTTTCCTTTCTTTCTTTCCTTCTCTTTCTTCCCGTCTCCTTTCTTTTTTTTTTCTTTTCTTTTTTCTTTTGAAACAGGGTTTCTCTGTATAGCCCCGGGTGTCCTGGAACTCTTTAGACCAGGCTAGCATAGAACTTAGAGATCCACCTGACTCTGCCTCCCGAGTGTTAGGATTAAAGGAGTGAGCCATCACGCCAGGTTGTCTTCAGCATTTTAAAACGCATATAGCCGGGCGGTGGTGGCACACGCCTTTAATCCCAGCACTTGGGAGGCAGAGACAGGCGGATTTCTGAGTTTGAGGCCAGCCTGGTCTACAGAGTGAGTTCCTGGACAGCCAGAACTACACAGAGAAACCCTGTCTCGAAAAACAAAAACAAAAACCTCATATAATCTGTGTCAGCATGACTTTGATGCCTAGAACAATCTTTAGACGAAATGAATCCCCTAGGGGTGACCTTGTGCAGATAGGCATGACTGTGCGCTTTTAAGGGCCTGGCGGAACCTCGTCTTCCCTAGGACTTTTTGGCTTGGTGGCATGAAACTGCGTTAGCTCAGCAAAGCCATTCTTGCTGGATTCTTTCTCTGGCCCCTGCGGTGATGCAGTTTAGCGCAAGCCATAGATTGCGGATTTAGAGCTTCTATTCCCAAGATCCCACAATTGGGGCGAGGCTCCGCCCTCCAGCGAGGCCCCGCCCCTCCCCGCCCAGCTAGTGCGCGCCTGTCCCACAGCCCATCCGGGCCTCAGCTCCTCCACATGCACACACCCCTCGCGCGCGTTGTCCTATCCGAAGTGGAACCTTCAAGCTGTCCAGTCAGAGCGCGTCTCTCCCGGGTCCCGCCCCTGGGCCTCGGTGCTCCGCTTACTCCTGCCCACCCCGTCCCCGCCGGCCTGGTGGCGGAGTCGAAGCGCAGTTACCCTCGGGACCGGGGATCATGTCGCTGCAAGTGGCGAGGAGCGTGCGGGCTGTGGCCTGCAGCCTACGCACCGCCCTGGCTTCCTGCCCGAAGCGGCCCTGGGCGCCGAGCGCCGCCGCCGTCCGCTCGCTGCGCACCGGATCTGCTGTGCTGTCGGGTAAGTGCGGGGCACGTGGTCACCGCTCCTGCCCGCCCAGAGACGTCAGTCGCCCCTACTCACAAGCCTCCTGGCCTGAGCAAGCTCTAGCCCTGCCCGCGCTTCTTCTCGCTCTTGGGATCCTGGTTCTGTGGTCCTTCTCCCTAAGTAGGCGCAAACTTTGAACCCAGGGTAGAAAGGTGGAGCTAGGAGGGAAGGACGGCTGGACCCGCAGGTAAGCCGCCCACTCGTGCCGGGGTGAGCTTGCTCTTGGGTGCACCTAGACCCTAAATGTGGGGAACGCTTAGGTTTGCTAAGTGGACTATTATGGGAAAGTGCGAAGTGGAAGTAAGCAGAAACATACTAAAATTTAGCAGAATGCATATACAGATGAATGAACAAAGCTCAGAAATAAAAAAGCCTTTTACTCTCCTCCCCCACCTCCCGCAAAGCCAAGAGTAGCCTTGAAGCTTGAGCTGTGAACTGCAGACAGCAGGGAAAGTTTTCTAGACTTCAGAGTTCTAACGTTTGTAATTGAGTCATTGATGTGTACTGGGGCTCAAACGAGGCTGATTTGATGGACTGGAAACAACTGGGAGACTTGCCCATTATATGCGTTCGCACAGTTAGCTGGGAAACAGTTTTCTGTCTGTGCAAGTAGTGGAGACCTTACTCAGG